GAACCCCTCCCCCATCGTCTCCCAGGCTCTCTGGGCACTGAGCCCTTCCCAGGAGGGAGAAGCACAGCTCCCAGAGGGCAGAACGGCAGCCAGCAGGCCGGTCCCCAAAGACCGACCCTTTAAGGGAGCATCAGCAGACACCAGACACCTTGGCACAGAAGAGGATGCAGCCACAGCTTTAGAAGGGCAACCAGTGATGCCAGCGGATCAGAGGAGACCTTCCTGGGGACAGCGATCACCCCCACCAGACCAGCTCTGCCCCGGGGGCTGCGTGTTGGGATGCAGACAGAGCAGAGGCCTCGCTGCGGTCCATCCTCCAAACACAGCCTCCAGTCTCCATTTTGGGTGGCTGCGAACCCTAAGGCAGGACCCCAATGACTCCAAGAGCCAACCCGCCAGCCAGACCCTGTGGGTGGATGAAGGATTGAACTTCAGCCTTCAGAAAGGAGAACAGATCAGACAACCTGGTGTGGTGCCACGGGGCCAGCTTACAATCCCTGTCCTCTCCACAGCACAAACTTCACACCTCAAACAACAGGCTGAGGATGCAAAGCCACCCCAGGGTGGGATTTCAGGGTCCAGGTCAAGCAGGACACCCTCCCCAGGGACCACGAGGATCTGCAGCTTACAAGGGCCAGCCTTGGGCTGAGAGCTCCTGGGTCACAGGCACAATGCCAGGGGTCTCCTCCCCGGTGCTCCTGAGCATGGCAGCCCACTGCCTGCCACCCTCCCAGCTCTCCCCACACCAAGGGACCCCGCCACGCCACGGCAGGGAAGCAGGAGTCCTCACAACACACAGACCATACCTTACTCGAACCAAACCGCCCACTGGCATCTGTGCTGGTGGCCCCAAATGCAAGGGAGTCGCCTCCCACCCCGTGGGAGGAAGCACGATCCTCTGCAGTGCAGGGAGCAAAGGTGGCTGCGATCCCCGAGGGGAAACCTCGTTATCTGAAGCACCGACAGAGCATGGGGCTGTGGACTCTGCCTCGACACCGGGAGCAGCCTGGGGGCGCGGGCTCAGGCTCCACAGGGGAAGAAGAGGAGGCTGCTCGCCATCATGGCCACGCAGGTCCTGGAGAACTCATCAAGTTCCCTCTCCAGATTGGGATGCGAAGCACGCCCATTGCTAGAAGAGCTGTCGAGACTTGTCTCTGGCAGCACATAAGAGAAATCGGGGAACCTCAGGCAAACTGAGTCACATCTGGATCTGAGACGGGCTCTTTGCCACTGCTCATACCAGGAGAAGCCCGTCACTCCCCAGCCTCACTTCTCCTTCCCTCCGCAGGATCAGAGCCACCCTGCAGTCCCTCTCCCCTGCCCTCTCCCAGCAGAAAGCCGTCCCCCAGGATGCCTTCCCCACCCTGCCGGCACCCCTGGACTCCGACCCACCACCGAGGGAGCAGGGAGTGGCCGGCGCCGTGCCAGGACGGTGCTCGCCTCACAGGCCTGCCGCAGGAGGGCTGGACTCACGGCCTCTCCAGCTCCCTCGAAGGCCTTGGGGCAAGCACAACCCCCACTTGCTGCGACAGGCACACGAGTTTGGGGCGAACACAACCCCCACTCACTGCGACAGGCACGCGAGTTTGAGGCAAACCAGGAGTGTATGCCACCCCATACCAGAGGCAGCGCCGGCTCCAGGGCCTGCTGCGTCCCACCCTGGCGTCCTCGTGCGATTCCTTTCCCATCCTCCACCAGTGCTGGAAGAGGCAAGAGCTCCTTCCCCAAATAGGTGCAGTTCCCTCGCAGCCTTCCCAGATGGGAGGAAGAGTCAGGGTCAGAGGTTTTACAGACAGACCCACCTCACTGCAAGAAGCAGTTTACACTTTGCAGGCCTTTACACAGTCCCAAAAGCTGTGGCCACAAGCAAGAGTCAAGGCAAACAGAAGGAAGAGGCCAGCTGACAGCATGTTATTGAGAGAGCCCCTGCCAAGGGCAGCCCAGAGGCACTCCCGGCCTCCGGAGGGGAAGGAGAGGCTGAGCACCGACTGCATGAGCAGGGACCAGTACAGGGACCAGTACAGGCCAGTGGGGAGATGCAGGAATGGAGAAACTCACCCCAAGGGGGAAATTTCAGTCCTAAAGCAGCACTTGTTTGAAACCCCGGTGAGTCAGAGACCCCCTCTCCTTCCAGAGGGAGGACGGGAACGTCCCCTCTCCCCACTGCCCGCTCCCTCCAGCACAATTGGCCTCAGCTCATTTCAGTGGTCACGTGTTCCACAGCCTCTCCTAATTAAATCAATCAATCA